GTCCTGCTTGAGCATGTGATCAGTTGGTTTTGGTTGTCAGCAGCAAACTGGTTGATCCACTCTAAGAAGGTGCTATTTAAGAGACTGAGCTGAAAACAGCACCTCAGACTGAGGAAGTCTCTTGGATGAGAGACGAAACGTTTCTAGAATTTTTTTTTGCTTTGTTTTGCTTTTGTTTTTTTGAATGTCCAGAGGACCAGATTGAACTTTTTTGGATTTTTCTACCTGGATTATTGAGCATGCATCAAGAAATCAAGGAAGTCGTCTGCAGCAAATTTGGACCCGATCAGGCTGCTTGCCTTTATGATGGCTTGGTTCGTGTCTGGAGTACCCAGACTCAAATGCTTTGGGCTGAATGGATCAGATCTTGGGGATTTTACTCAGTCACGTTCCATCGGTGTAGCCATGTAATTTGGACATTTCGCAACCGAGTGGACCAAACACAGACTCAAGGTAGATGTCATTAAGTTCTGCCTGTCCCCAAAACAACTGTGTGTTTATCTAAGTTGGCTCCCTTGGCTGGCCTTGAAGGCCATCTTATCTGAATTCGCCTGGAGAAAATGTGATCTGACGCTCACCACCCCCTCCCTGAGGAATTTCCTACTGATAACCTGTGTCAACATTTCAGGACTCTTGGATTCTCATAGTCATTGTTCTTGGCCATTCCTCGACATACCTCGAGAATGTTTATGGATCTCACCGGAGGACATTGACTGATTATTACATCTTTATCAGAACTCTTACAGTGCCCTTGAGAGCATCTATGGACATGCTCACTGCTCTCGTCGTCTCCCCCCTCTGCAGAATGTCTACGTCACTATGTACTTGTTTGTGCGAGGTGTTTTTTAATATCAGAGTTTTTTTCTTCTCAGGCAGGAAAAAAAAGTCTGATAGGAATTTTTTCACCTCCAATCCTACATGTGTCCATTTTACCACTTTTATTGTCTGTCCAAACAGGTCTCACTTGTCTTTGAGGCTCAGTGTGACTTATCTGTCTAAATAAAGGTTGAATTAATTAATGAATCTAGTTATTCATTAAATATTTTACTAAAAGTACAGACAAACAAATGCACATTGACTTGGGCAAAAATATTATGCCTTTTTTCTGTGGTGGGTTCAGTGTCAAGGGAATGTGTACCATTTGTACTCACCATGCTCCATAATTATCACTGCCTTTTCATTGTTAGTGTGAATGATGTTAAACTGTTCCAAGGTCCTTTATTTTTTCATTCAACCTTTATTTAGAGGTTTATTAATTTATTTACAAAGCTTTGGAGAACAGTCAGCAATCACAGAAGATCAATGCCTTTACAAGTACACACTTATCAATGCTTTCACCTGTCTGAGGTTCTGACTCATTCTGACTTCCTGAAAAGTGAAAAATCACTTTTGTAGACACTTCCAGAATCCAGCCTCCCAGCCCCTCCCTGCCCTGTCCAGGTTATAAGAACCCAGCTGCAGTCAGAAGTGGGAGGAAATCTGGAGAACCATGTCACTGTAATTATATCAATCAGACCTTGAGGACAATAAAATTATCTCTTGCTGTCCCTTTACTGACTCGTCACTTGAAGACTAACTGTAATATAGAGTCAGAGTTTCGTTTGTCATACACATCCCACGTGGTCCATGTGGTGGAACGAGATTATGTACACAGGGTCCCAGTTACATCCATCAATAAAATGTAAAATAAAAACAGTAATAAGATCTAAGATATGAACTAAGAAAAACATCAACTAAAAATACACTAAGCACTCATAGCATAAAAATATTACATCGAACAGCAGCACCAACATGAGCATGAGCCTGTGTGAGCAGATGAGCACGCATGAACACATCAACATTGAAACAGATCAGCAACAACATGAAACAGATCAGCAGCAACACGAAGCAGATCGGCAGCAACATGAAACAGATCAGCAGCAACATGAAACAGATCAGCAGCAACATGAAGCAGAT